GATAACGAGCGCGGAGCCCGCTTGGCAGGCGGCAGGAGCTGTGGGCAAGTGCTTGCTTGGTAGGCCAACAGCCCTGTGAACCGGGCGGGGCACTCGACGAAAGGGGGCACACTGAGCAAGTACGAAAAATTGGCCCCGCGGAGCTTTCAAAAAGAAAAGCAAGGACCACTACGGGAGGTCGAACCACGGACCGGAGGTAGTAGAACGTGATCCGCACCGGTCAATATTGGATCAAACAATAGGGGACCGTAGCACTGACCTTTCTTTTTCAAGACAATAGGTACTGTTCCCTACCGAGACAAGGGACACTCTCAACGGATCCTCCACGCGCTGGGCATACCATAGTTCTTCCGTGCGTCTTTATCGTGGCGGAAACAGAACAAAAGGGAAGACCCGGCCGACTCGCCCAGGGCTCGAGGGCGAGCCATACGAGAGTGAGTCGAATTCTGTTTACGTTCTCGGTTTGGTTCGGGCCCCTCTCGATCTTTTGCGTATAAGGGAAGGGGGAAGGAGTCTAAATCTATGGACATTAATGAACCACCATTGATGGACGTTGCACATGACACGATCAATTCGACTCGACGGTCCGGTGCTAATAGAAGTCGCTTACTCTCCGTCTAGCGAAGGTGCCAGGGCAGGGCTTTTTTGTAGTAATAGTGGGCGGGTCTCATGAGATTTCATCTATGCCGGCCGTCGGAATCAAACGAGGGTCGAAGGACCATTCGATTCATTAAGGGGGACGGCCCATTTGTAAGGCGGGGGGGCCTGAATGAAGAGCGGACCAGACTCTTCTTTGTTTCAGCTGCTCCCACGCACGAAGATTTATCTATTGATAGAGTTAAGGGCTCGGCTCCCCCCGACTCTAAAAGGTTAGGTTACTACCAGCTTGCCTCTACGGAAGAGGTGTACTTTGTACTGTCTAGAGGTCATATAGATCGGAACCCGGAGCGAGTTGAACGAAAGCCTTACCCACTGCTACAACTACTGGCGCTTCAAAGGGCTTAGATTCTAAGGTAGGGTGTCAGCCGTGAAAGCCTTTGGTACTTTAGTAAGGCGAGCAGCCCTTAAACAAAATCAAAGGCGCGACCATCCCCCTTCCCCTATTTTTGCATTTCATTCTCTATTTGGCCCGCCTCATGAAAAATGATAGGCCTATTGATTCGAAGTAAGTACGAAAGGGTCGGTCAATAGCATAGCTCTTTTTTTTTTTTTTTTTTCTCCTTTCGAAGGAAAGGCCTTCGCATTCTTAATCTGGTAGGGCCGGACGGCTTTGTTTGCCCTAGCTTGGCGAATCGCGCCCCTGACCGTTCTCGCGAAGTCTTTGCAACGGCTGGGAAACCTGTCTACGAAGCTAAGCATATTGCCACGCCGACCATCAAATACGAGATTGGGCCCCTTCTCAAAGATGGAATGGCCCAGCCCAATAAAGGAAGGTTAACGTACGCGATGCCTTCCATTTGTACGAATCGCGAACATACCACGCACGACCGGACGTAGAGCCAAAATTCACTGGCAGACCGAGTCGGGCGCAGGTGCCAGATCCTCAAAGTAAAGTATCGATCAGCCTAGTGTACCAACCACGTGGTACGACGGGCACTCAAAGACCTGGCGAATGAGGGCCCACCCCACCCAAGAGCGCTTATGTCATATGGGAACTCTTGGCTGGAAACAATCCTTATGGTTTTTATATCCGGTTAGAATAATAAGAAAGAATCAAAGTCCAGGTTGGTTGGTGAGCCTAGTGATAGGAGACTATCTAGCTTGGTTCGGAGAGCACTTGTTGGGTTTAAGATTAGTTTTTTGCTAAATGTTACGGCCTAAATGCTGAACTATTGACCCTACTTGTTCGGATGGGTGTTCACCCCAAAGTGTTCCCGGACTGCATGCATACATCCGTAAGTAACTTAGTGCAACATGGCAAATTTCATTGAGAGGAATCAGCAAAGAAAAGAAATCTTCTCCGGGTGACTGGATCGCCCCGGAACCACAAGAATCCTTAGAATGGGATTCCAACTCAGCACCTTTTGTTTTGAGATTTTGAGAAGAGTTGCTCTTTGGAGAGCACAGTACGATGAAAGTTGTAAGCTGTGTTCGGGGGGGAGTTATTGCCTATCGTTGTCCTCTATGGTAGAACCCGTCGGGGAGGCCTGAGAGGCGGTGGTTTACCCTGTGGCGGATGTCAGCGGTTCGAGTCCGCTTATCTCCAGCCCGTGAACTTAGCGGATACTATGATAGCACCGAATTTTGCCAATTCGTCAGTTCGATCTATGATTTCGCATTCATGGACGTTGATAAGATCCTTCCATTTAGTAGTAGCACCTTAAGATGGCATAGCCTTAACGTTAATGGCGAGGTTCGAAAGAGGAAAGGCTTGCTTTATTCAATACCTCCTTATCTATGTAGTGTCTCTTCATTTTCTTGGTGCTTAATGTTGACATTTCAGTAATGGAGGAAGATTGAGAGTGAAACATTTAGGTACGACAAAAGGAAAAAGGAAACCCTTATTTATAAGTAGCTTTGCACAGCAATTGGATCTGGTAAGGTCTAAGGTATAACACAAAGTACCTCTTGAGCGACCCAGGTTCATGCTGGTACTCCTTTCGAAGAAAAATTTTCGTTGGAAAGAGCTTCTTGCATACGATCTCCTCCGGTTGATATTGATGTCGTGATGAACCTCTTTCGGGAAGCGAAGGAATCCAAGCCAAGAAAGAACTACCGGCCCTGCTGACTTCATATATTCAGTGCTTGGCGAACGTTGCACACTCCATCACCAATTCCCTTTCATTTCCACAGGCTCCTTCTTTTGGGAGCAACTTTTTGTGCAATTAGGTAAAATTTCTCTAACTCTATAACTTGGCAACTGATCAAAAGAAAGCTATTCCTCTTAGCCCTAGTAGCCCTAGCTATCTAATGCATACTTTCCAACAGGCCCCGGCCTATAACGGCAAATCACTGGCACATGACTGGAAATTGAGTTAGTTAGAGAGCATTAATTACATCACAAATTCCACCTAGGGATTCCTCTATAAAAAAGATTACTCTACTGAACATCTGCAACACATTCCACAGCTTTAGTGCACTTTGGTCTCGAAACTGTTGACTAGGCATTGTCTCGATGAACTGAACTATTGATCGCAGACTACTTGTTGTGAATTCACAATTGAATCGCTTCTAGTATGAGAATTTGGTTTTCTCTCACTTTCCGGTTGTAATAGAAGGTTCATCGGCTCGTATCCTGGTTGAGAAGAAGCAGTTTTCAAGCTTGACTTGATTGGTCAAGAAGACAATAGGTAGGGTTTGAACTCGCTTGTTTCGGAGCCCAAGGATTCTACTCACTCGCTACACGCTTGCTGGTTTCGAACTAATGTCGGATCACTCGTGGTTTTCTTTTTTTCGGTTTATCTCCTCACATGTTGGAGCAACAGGTAGATTTACATATCTGATACCTCTGCTCCTTCCCTTGGGGCTAGTACTCCAACTTCAACTTCGATTTTATTAATAACTACTTATGAGACCTTTTTTGGCACATACCCCTTAGCTCAAGTTTTTGATCAAACCAATCCATTGACACAAACGGTTCATGGGCGAAAAGTGAGTTGTTTGGGTCCTGGAGGATTGACGGGGAGAACTGCAAGTTTTCGTAGCCGAGATATTCATCCGAGTCACTATGGGCGTATTTGTCCAATTGACACGTCCGAAGGAATCAATGTTGGACTTACCGGATCGTTAGCTATTCATGCGAGAATTGATCACTGGTGGGGATCTATAGAGAGTCCGTTTTATGAAATATCTGAGAAAGCAAAAGAAAAAAAAAGAGAGACAGGTAGTTTATTTATCACCAAATAGAGATGAATATTATATGATAGCAGCAGGAAATTCTTTGTCCTTGAATCAGGGTATTCAGGAAGAACAGGTTGTTCCAGCTAGATACCGTCAAGAATTCCTGACTATTGCATGGGAACAGATTCATGTTAGAAGTATTTTTCCTTTCCAATATTTTTCTATTGGAGGTTCTCTCATTCCTTTTATTGAGCATAATGATGCGAATCGGGCTTTAATGAGTTCTAATATGCAGCGCCAAGCAGTTCCACTTTCTCGGTCCGAGAAGTGCATTGTTGGAACTGGATTGGAACGACAAACAGCTCTAGATTCGAGGGTTTCCGTTATAGCCGAACGCGAGGGAAAGATCATTTCTAGTGATAGTCACAAGATCCTTTTATCAAGTAGTGGGAAGACCATAAGTATTCCTTTAGTTGCCCATCGACGCTCTAACAAAAATACTTGTATGCACCAAAAACCTCGGGTTCCGCGGGGTAAATCCATTAAAAAAGGGCAAATTTTAGCGGAGGGAGCAGCTACAGTTGGCGGGGAACTTGCTTTAGGAAAAAACGTTTTAGTAGCTTATATGCCCTGGGAGGGTTACAATTTTGAAGACGCAGTACTAATTAGTGAACGTTTGGTATATGAGGATATTTATACTTCTTTTCACATCCGAAAATATGAAATTCAGACGGATACGACAAGCCAAGGCTCCGCTGAAAAAATCACTAAACAAATACCACATCTAGAAGAACATTTACTCCGCAATTTGGACAGAAATGGAGTTGTGAGGTTGGGATCCTGGGTAGAAACTGGCGATATTTTAGTAGGTAAATTAACGCCTCAGATAGCGAGCGAATCGTCGTATATCGCGGAAGCTGGATTATTACGGGCTATTTTTGGTCTTGAGGTATCCACTTCAAAAGAAACTTCTCTCAAACTACCTATAGGTGGAAGAGGGCGCGTTATCGATGTGAAATGGATCCAGAGGGACCCCTTTGACATAATGGTTCGTGTATATATTTTACAGAAACGTGAAATCAAAGTTGGGGATAAAGTAGCCGGAAGACACGGGAATAAGGGGATCATTTCAAAAATTTTGCCTAGGCAAGATATGCCCTATTTGCAAGATGGAACACCTGTTGATATGGTCTTCAATCCCTTAGGGAGTACCCTCACGAATGAATGTGGGACAAATATTTGAAAGCTCGCTCGGATTAGCAGGGGATCTGCTAAAGAAACATTATAGAATAGCACCCTTTGATGAGAGATATGAGCAAGAGGCTTCAAGAAAACTTGTGTTTTCGGAATTATATGAAGCCAGTAAACAAACAAAAAATCCATGGGTATTTGAACCCGAGTACCCGGGAAAAAGCAGAATATTTGATGGAAGAACAGGAGATCCCTTCGAACAGCCTGTTCTAATAGGGAAGTCCTATATCTTAAAATTAATTCATCAAGTTGATGAGAAAATTCATGGACGTTCTACTGGGCCCTACTCACTTGTTACCCAACAACCCGTTAGAGGAAGAGCCAAGCAAGGGGGACAACGAATAGGAGAAATGGAAGTTTGGGCTTTAGAAGGATTTGGTGTTGCTCATATTTTACAAGAGATACTTACTTATAAATCTGATCATCTTATAGCTCGCCAAGAAATACTTAATGCTACGATCTGGGGAAAAAGAGTGCCTAATCACGAGGATCCGCCAGAATCTTTTCGAGTGCTCGTTCGAGAACTACGATCTTTGGCTCTAGAACTGAACCATTTCCTTGTATCTGAGAAGAACTTCCGGGTTAATAGGGAGGATGTTTGATCGGAATAAATATCAATTTTTTTCTTATTTCTATTTTATGATTGACCAATATAAACATAAACAACTTCAAATTGGACTCGTTTCCCCTCAACAAATAAAGGCTTGGGCTAAAAAAATCCTACCTAATGGGGAAGTCGTTGGCGAAGTCACAAGGCCCTCCACTTTTCATTATAAAACCGATAAACCAGAAAAAGATGGATTGTTTTGCGAAAGAATCTTTGGACCCATAAAAAGCGGAATTTGTGCTTGTGGAAATGGGGAGCAAGTACTCAGCAGAGATATCTACAGGCTCGGTCATCGCTTTGACTTCTTCCGAATGCTTTCGTGCTATTTTACAACTGTTGGGTTTTATATTAGCTCAATGGTAACGTATATAGGGCAGTAGCATGCATTATATTTGTTACTGTACAGTTGGCTGTCATGCATATTTTCTCATGTTCTTGTCTTAATGTTGTGCAGATGGTTGTCATAATAGTGTCTGTTTTCTTGTACGGAAGACTTTACTTAGCATTAAGTGGACTTGAGTTTGCAATTATGAAGCAAGCACGGATGAGAGGGAATCGTGCACTTCAAGCGGCTATATTACGAGTTCCAGTGGGTTGTCTTAAAAAGAATGGTTTAGCTGAATTCAGGAGAATTCTGTCTTTTGCACATGAGCGAATCGAGAGAATCTCTTGGTTTTTTATCTACCGATTAAAGGTTTCCGGGCACTGAAAAGATAGTGATTCGGGAGTCAAATCCCCAACAGACATAGGGGTGGTATCCGTGGCATAAAACCCTTTCAACATGCTCCTTTCTTCTTTATCTCCTGGCAATGAAAGGCAGGCGGTGCCTTCGTCTCGTTCAATACGGAAGTCTTCGGCTCAGCACCCTGCTCTCTGAAATCGAAACCCCACTTGGGCATCCTGAATAGAACTCCCCCTCTATCACCCAAGGTTGGTTTTTAGCAAGCTAAACCGCATCTCTAACACACCTCTTTGTAGGGCGGTTATGAAAAAAGAATTTGGAGAAAGAACAAGGGGATGAGCAAAAGAAAATCCCCCTCGCATTCACAGGCGAACCTCGTCCTATACGGCTGTTTTTTCGAGAGAAGAGAGATTCCTATCTCTACTGATAGGAGGTACTCGTGCAGGCTATTCCCATCTCTGATGTGTAAACACAAACTCTTCACTGTCCCAACAGAACTAACAGAGCTTGATACCTAAGATGCAAGGGATTCACCCCCAAAGTGCATATTTCTTTTCTCGGCTGCTGTAACAACTAGTACATAAGTAGCAGGCTTTCGCCTCAGAAGTATCTGTTCCCCTAAATAGAATAAGTTGGGCGCCACTACAGCTTCTTGAGTTGGCTCCGCTCCGTAAACTTAGGTTGGCTCAGTCAGCTCCTCGTATCAAGACTGAAGTCTGTCAAGCGGTCCTTGATTGAAAATGTTGTCAAGCAACCATCCATGAAGAAATGACATCAGGAGAGTTGCCAGCGAGGATGATATCATCAACATATACAAGCATATATAGAGTTACTTTTCCCGCCATAACTTCTATAATAGGGCAGGGATTAATCTTCTTTTGAGGCTGAGAATCTGTACCGCTTAAGTAAGTCACTCAGCTTTTTTAACCCGGCCTTAGATGCTTGCTTCAACCCATAGAGAGACTTGAGGAGCTTGCACACATAAGACGGACGAGTAGGGTCAATGAACCGGAGGGCTTGCTGCATATTGCTCATCAAGGCATGTAGAAAAGCATTTTATATATAAAGTTGCTGAATTAATCAACCAGTAGAGATAGCCAGAGATAAGCCTGCTTAGAATATCTGCCCGAATGGTAAGCGGTTTGATAACGGGACTTAATTTATCATTAAAAGAAATTCCTATCTTATAAGTTGATGCGCCGCCCTTAGCAACCTTGTATCGCTCAATATCTCCATCCACATGTGTGTTTTTTTAGTTTCTAAACCCATTTTCAGCCAATTCGGGTTCCATGGGAAGGAGGCGCTACCCACATGAGAATTCACATATATGGTTGATGAAATACTGGATTACTGGGCCCAATATAGTTGTTATGGTGCTTAATCTGTAGACAAGTAGAGTTCGTGCACACTGTTATACAAGACAATATACTCTAACACACACTCTTGGTAATAAAAGGCAATCAACAATTTGCTGATATAACCTGTTCTTCCCACTGTGCAGAAACCGGAGGAGGGAAAACAATGGCAGGCTTTGTACCAGAACCCGCAAAAAGCTGTCTTCTTGGAACTGAATCCTTGTTACCATGACCGAACTCAGCCAGCTCTCTGAAAATTAGAAAAGGTAGCAATAATTAGTTGCCTATTCATATGGAAGCTATGTATATAATTCTCAGGAGCTCAACAAAGAATAACCTGATCTCATTAACCATCATATCTCTTGTTATCACTTCTAACATGTCTTGAAGCAACAGTACCACATTATCAAACTTTGAGGCATCTCTTTCTTTCTGCAGGTGACCAGCATAATGTTAGCATTACCTTCAATACATGAATTGATCATCTGTCTTAACAAGTTGAAATATTGAAATTGTCAAATAGGAGAATAGTTGAGTAAATGAGTAAAGTAGTAACATTGCATTACCAAGGTAGATACAAGCTCCACAAATTTATTGAAAAGAACTGGGATGGGAGTGCGCTCATTCTAAAATTGGCAAGGAACGTATTCTTTGCAATATTAGCTTCTATTTCTTTTATTATAATACCAATAATCCTGTTTATGTTAATGAACAAACATGTCAAAAGAGGATCAACATAATCAACTGAACATGGAATTCAAAGATATATATATGCACCAACGGCCATGCAGTTCAAGAAGCCAACTAGCATGAAGGATAAAACACATATGCCTTCAGTACCATTGAGGTTACGTATGTAACAATAGCTAAAGCTTACTAACTACAAGCAGTCATAGTTTTCTTTACATTGTACATCTATGGTGGTGCTTGGCTGTCCGCTGTCCTTCTCCCTAGTTCATTTTGGAATAGCTAGTTCCTGAATATTGAAATAGTGAATATGTGCAGCCACATGCAAATGTTGGATTCCATATTCTTAGTATTGGATTTGTAACCTTGGCTCAGTGGCTCACACATGCCTAATTATATAGGGTCTGGTAGTGTAAAGCTCATATGTCACTTCGATCACCACCTCTAATCCCCCATTGATTCTTGATAGCGTGAGATGGTGAAATTGTTCTGGCTTGTGTGGAGAGACTGGTCTTGGGCTGGGGCTGCTGCGACTAACCTTTCGCCCAGAGTTGGCGGAGCTGAGGTTGGCTGGCTGGGTGGCACTTTTCGTCGACCCATTTGGGAAAGTTAGTGGTGCGTTGCATGGTCAATTTGGATTTGATCAACAACTTACCTTGACAATTCGCATTGATCAACTGACCTGGCAAAGAAAAGAGTCAAAATCTGGATCAAATCGGTGAAGAAACACGACTTGTCCCTATTGAAAGGAATAGGAGAGATAGAAAGTGCGGGGAAGTTGATTTATTAGTTTGGAGGATAAATAGATAGGCGTGAGAGTACTTTACTGGTTGAAAAATAGACTGGCATAAGGGATAGGCAAGGGTAAACTGGATAGCCAAGTTCAATGACTGAGAAGTAGAGGGCTAGCACGAGCTGTGACCATTGCCAAGAACGAGTGCATTCTATACCTAGCGATAGGTCAAGATCCTTTTTCCTATCTATTGAAGATGCAAAGAGAGATGCTTCTTCCTCTTCAAGTTGGAAGTGCAAGAAGAAATGCGGTAAAGCGGTAAATAGGAGTTCCATCTACCACGCACTCGCCCCACACTCCAGTTCAGCATCCATACTCAGCTAGGAGGAAGGTGCCGGGGACACTATGAACACACATGTACTTGGTTGACTTCACGTCCCGTCTCACAACCGGGTAAGATCAAATAAACAAACAGCTTGCTTGCCCAATCCCTATTGAGAGGATTTCTTGAGCTTGAACTTCCTTTTGTAGCTCCGCTCACAGGGACTTCTTTTCATCCGCAATGAAGCTTATACCACCACTTGGCCAGTAAGGCCTGATTCAAAAAAGATCAATCACCCCCTTCCCTACTTCAATGGAAAAGGGGGAATCGCCCTTTCACAGCCGCCCCCTCCACTAAATTGATACCTATCCTTTCGCCTAAGATGATCACGAACGAAGACAGAGAATTGCGTAGATAGGAGGAGGAAACGAACCAACCCGGGGCCCCAAACAAACAAAAGGGAATGAGAGAAATGATCGGAACGATTGAGGAAAGAAAGAGAATGGCGGCCCCTTTCCTTTCGCCCAGGGGGCATCGTCGTCGGGGACAGGCTTCGAGGGTTCTTCCATATTTAGATATAGAGATAGATGATGATAGAGATCTAGATCTTTCTATAGATAGATCCTTTGAGAAATTTCTATTGATCCGCTTTCAAGATCTATGAACAAGAGAGAAAAAAAATATCCATGTAAAAAAAAGAGATGAATAGATAGGGCTGAGCCGATAGCAGGACTGGGTACGATGATGGGGCGAGAGAGGGAAAAAAACCTTCGGGATGGATCGGGAAAAGTGACCTCCGGCTCAGCCCACGACTCCCTTTCCCTTCCCTTCGCATAGCTCACTCAAAATCCCCCTTTTTTCCCAGAATGAATTCGCCCGACACGACGAATCCTGCCCTCCTGTCTTTCTTTCTCATTGAATGAACCACTGCCTGGGACGCCCCTATGCCTATGAATTCAATGATTTAAGGGCCCCGGGAGGAAACTTCGGAAAGAAAGCCTACTGGTTGGTCTGGTTGTCCCCCCGGCGGTGCCCGGGCGGGCCTCGGTTCAATCTTGCCGATTCTACCTAGACATGGCTCAAAACGAAGGGGTAAGGCCAAGTGTTCTTAAAACTAAACTCTCAGTGCACTTCGGAGCACGGTCTTCCGTTAGGTCCTTTACGGACGACGAAAGCCCCTTGGCTATACTCTACTCTTCGCCTCCGGCTGTTCTGT